CCTTCTATAACTAAAATTTATAGATTCTGGTGTTTCACGTCTTTTAGGTGAACTCATTGATTTGCCTCCATAATCCACTTTGACCACTGATTTCTCATTAGGATTTCATAAAATCCACCGACGTGTCAAACTGGAGTTCAGGTCTAGCTTAATCTGGTAATACCAGGCCGTTCTGTTCACCCCATCTTCAAAGTACATTCATATGATAATGAATATATGCAACTGCCTTCCAAGTAATTAGTTTCCCAAAATCACTGCTTCACACGGCTCACGCCAGTTGTGACGTATTTCCACCAGCGCTTGTGAAATACCCCACTTTTCTTATTCAGATTGCCAATTAACCGTATCAATTATGGATAAAAAGCTGCCCCCATTGAGTTCATTGTTCGTTCGTGCCTGAATGCATCTACAGAAAGTCTTGTCAGAGATAATTAATAAGTCAATCAAGATATTCGCTGCCCTGCGAGACATGGTTATTGAAGGGAATGATTGGCCGAGTGGGGAAATGCGCTTTGAATATGTGATGGGCAGGTAGATTAGGTACCGGCAGTTGTGTTCTGTTGGACGACAATGTCGGGCTGTTGTTGCTGATGTCGCGGGGGAATGCTGCCAACTACGCCGACTGTGACATTATTAATCCATCAACACGTAGTATGACTATACTCACGGTGAAGATGGGGACGGCAATTTAATCACGAGTGGAGTTAGCTCGTGGCATTTGTCTACGTTATTTCCATGAACGTATTTTGTATTGCTGCAATATTTCACGGAGTGTATCTTCTTATAACATGTCTGTGTCGCCGTGGATGAATTTTACATGTAGTTATGCGCTAGCTTTATGAAATAATTATCTATTTCTTGAAAAGAACCACTTTCGGTTTATATGTAAAGGAGGAGTTCCACTAGGATTTATAATCAGTGTCAGGTTATTGCATTTTCGTATTGTGAAAGGCTGGCAAAATATTTGAAACCTCAAACGTCTCTCAAAAGTCAGGCTGACAAAATGTGTCACTGATGGCATCTAATCGCCTCATTCGACATATTAACACCTTCCATTAGAACATATCAAACATTATATTCAGTCGAAGAGAAGAAGGTCCGGGGTTCGATCCCCAGCCGTGTCATACCAAAATACGTCAAAAGATGGTACTTGTTGTTACCCTGCCTGGTGTTCGGCATTAAGTGGATAAAACAAGACTCGTCTCGGAGTCAGTATACTGTGTCTGAGTGGGGTATTCATGTTTAACTGCGGCGTGGTATCTCAGGGGCTAGCACTATTAAACTGGCATCAGTCCTGACTAGTGCCACCCGTGAAGATCAGGGGTAGAATAGGTCTTCAGCAACCCATGATTGCTGTAAAAGGCGACTATGCTTGTCGTAAGAGGCGACTAACGGGATCGGGTGGTCAGGCTCGCTGACTTGATTGATGCATGTCATCGATCCCAATTGTGTGGATCGATGCTCATGACATTAATCACTGGATTGCCGGTCCAGACTCGTTTTGATACAGACCGTCGTCATATAGCTGGAATATTGCTGAATGCGGCGTTAAACAACCAACCAACCATCCTGACTAGTGCAAGCCGCCACATGCACCTCACCTCACCTCACCTCACCTCACCTTATTTCAGTCTCTAAGAAATCGGGTAGGCATTTCAGAAGACGTAAGTCACGCTCTGGATCTCAAAGTCAGGTTTACACGTTGTTATTAGTGCAATTTGTGAAATTGAGACAGTATCTGTGCCATCAAGGTAATCTCAAACTTCTAGATTGATCTACACCTGACAATTTGAGTTCGCAGACACACAGATAGGTTTTGCTCAAAAACGCTGACAAAACACACTCCTATTACACTGGAGTAAGGAGGCGCAGTTGTCAAGCGAAAACGCTTTAAGTCTTGACTCGAAAATGTCAAGTGATGGGGCTATTTGGAGGGAAATTGAGACCATTTGATTTATAATTGAGTCTCATAAGTACTGATTAAATTGGTGAGCCTTCCATTCTCAATTATCCAGCCTACCATCTTGCTATGATAATGGCATGGGAGATCATTCACTGGGTAACTGAATACTATGGTTTAATAAATGCTTATGCGCATATTAAATGACTGGAAATGGATACATATGAAATATTGAAAGTTCTAAAAGGCCGCAGCGACTGATGTTGATGTTGTGATTGATATGAAACCTCCAAGCGTCAGACAACGCTCCTTCATCATCAGCCCCATCTTCCAACTGTTGTAAAATATTCATGGTTTCAAACCGAGATAGCCGGTTTCAGATGTCATATGAGAGTTTTCAATATTTCAAGCATGAACCTGGCGGGGATTGGGTACTGTGCGGAGCGACTGCAGCATCACTGATGCTGTAAAGCCGCATAACAACACAGGTAAACCCGAGGTGATACCAAACCTTTCGATGAGATGATTCTGTATGTTGTGGGCGCGATATCAATAAGCTTTTGTGCTAAGTTCTACATATTAATCGATTATGATATGTTTTATAATATGCCAATAGCATGTACAAAACTTGCGCACTGATAATTTTATATGAGAGGGGTGAGATTAAGGGGTCATGAAAAAATAGGGGTTCGCCGGTATATCAAAACTGTATTCATGATTATTCTATTAATCAAGTAAATAAGGTCTTAATTCGAACATTGATTAGGGACTGGTCAATTAACATAATATAATGTTACAAAAAACGTGTGTGTGTGTGTGTGTGTGGTGGTCCTAATGAATGCTAAGGTTAAGTTGAGTGAGTGTTGTGTAACGCCGCACTGAGCAATGTTCCAGCTCTATCACGACCGTCTGTATATAATCGAGTGTGGACCAGATACACATGTGATTGGTCGCAATTGAGACACGACGACATGCAGTCAGCTAAATCACAAATCTGACCACCCGATCTATATTTAGACGGCTCTTGTGCTTGCTTGTTGTTTAACGCAGCACACAGCAATATTCCAGCCATATGACGGCGGTCTGTAAATTATCCGGGTTAGAAGAGGTCTTCAGCAACCCATGCTTGCCGTAAAAGGCGACTATGCTTGTCGTAAGAGGCGACTAACGGGATCGGGTGGTCAGGCTCGCTGACTTAGTTGATGCATGTCATCGTATCCCAGTTACGTAGATCGATGCTTATGATGTCAATCACTGGCTTATCTGGCCCAGTCTCGATTATTTACAGGTGGAATATTGGTGAGTGTGGTGTCAAACAACAAACAAACAAACTAAATCAATAAGTGAGTGAGTATGAGTTAAATTTAAAGTCACAACAGCAACATTTCGGCCATATCGTGACTTTTAAAGGTTAAACATATCAGAAACATTTTATCTAGCCTGTCAACAAAGAACATTAAAATAACTAGATTTATTATAGATTGATATTTAAACCTAGCATGTAACCATAAAATTACATCACATTACAAAACAATACATCACAAAAATGAGCTGTAGATGGCCAGCAGTCCAAGTTAGGCGACCATATCAAGTGCGGTGGGGATTAACGATACTTCTGCTACCTGCGCGGTTCAGGTGACTATGCTTGTCGTAAAAGGCGACTAACGGGATCGGGTGGTCAGGCTCGCTGACTTGGTTGATGCATGTCATCGATCCTAATTGCGTGGATCGATGTCATGATATCAATCACTGGATTGTCTGGTCCAGACTCAATTATTTACAGACCGCCGTCATATAGCTGGAATATTGCTGAGTGCGGCGTTAAACAACAAACCAAACCAAAAAACCTGCGCGGTTCCCAAGTAGGATTTACACTATTCCTTCGACCCGTGAAGATACGGGGTGGAATAGGTCTTCAGCAACCCATGCCTTAAAAGGCGACTATGCTTGTTGTCAGAGGCGACTGACGGGATCGGGTGGTCAGGCTCGCTGACTTGGTTGATGCATGTCATCGTATCCCAAGTGTGTGGATCGATGCTCATGTCAATCACTGGATCGTCTGGTCCAGACTCGATTATTTACAGACCGCCGTCATATAGCTGGAATATTGCTGAGTGCGGCGTTAAATATCAAACAAAAACAACAACTCTATTCCTTCAGCCTCTGGTTAAACATTAAGATGACAGATATTCTAAGTTTAAGACAACGGTAGATATAGATATGCTTTGACTGACTTGGACTTACGATACCCTCTCAATAATATTACGCTTCTTAAACCCCCCATCGAGGGCACAGCCACTAAATCAATTAGTACTGCAACACCTAGCGTCATCAATTTAAATAATTTAGGTAAATGTTTGAGTGCACAATCCGCACCTTCGCACACACTGTTTTGATGCTTTTTAGACAATGACTGACAGGTATTTGATTGTTGTAGTTATCCCAAATCATGTTGCATGGACATAAAAGCAATATACGAACATCTAAGCTTAGTGCGAGTTGGTTTCTTGCGCCGCATTTAGCAATACTACAAAAGGCGACTATGCTTGACGTAAGAGGCGACTAACGGGATCGGGTGGTCAGGCTCGCTGACTTGGTTGATGCATGTCATCGATCCCAATTGCGTGGATCGATGCTCAAGATATCAATCATGGGTGGTCTGCTCCAGACTCGATTATTTACAGACCGCCGCCATACAGCTGGAATACTTCTGAGAGCGGCGTTAAACAACAAACAAACAAAAGAAACAAATATTACAGCTATAGCTACAGACACAGGACACAAGACAGGAGCTTCAAACATCGTATCCACGAGGGCAATCGAACCCGGGCCTTGGGCGTGAAGAGCGAACGCTTTAACCGCTAGGCTATCATACTCACGGCCTCTTCTAAGCTTGGACTCAAGCAATGACTTAATAATACCTTCAGATTGGTTATCATATAGCGATGTTAACTGTCCATGAGCATTTTCTATCAGTACTTTTAGCGTTTAAGATGACTGTTTCAATTAACTCTCCAATTTCCTAACTGGACACGTGAGGTGTGTGTGTGTGTGTGTGTGTGTGTGTGTGTGTGTGTGTGTGAAAACAAGGGGCACCTACCTGATGACTGGTTAGTTGTCCGAAGCGATAAGAATATGAACACAAGAGAAACTCCAAATGTCAGAAACGCGTCCATGGTTCTTCGTGTCTGTCAGTCCATACGATCAACTGGTCCGCCAGTTCACTACTCCACAGTCGAGTTAATCGTCTGCAACACGCCGCGCACTCTGACCTCTGCGCGCGAGTCAATACTGGATGTGTCCCGCTCGGCTATTGGTTCAATTCTTCGGGAAGTCAGATGAACAACTGTCAGTCAAATACTGATAGAGTTCTCCTGTTTAAGAGATAGCGAGGGCGACTCGTGGCTCTGTCCGACTGATGACATCGTTTTCCACGATTCTTGACTCTGGAATCATTGTGGTAATTATGAACGTTGACTTAAAACCGGTATTGATCAATGCGACGCTGCGATGGTCCACTTCCAGCTCTGATGTGCAGCGGTAGAGTGCACGTCCGAATATTCCCGAACAGGCGGGTAATAAATGATTTTTTTTTATTATAGTCTCGTTTAGGGATGGTTTTAACTTGGCAGAGAAATTGATTCAAATATGCACCCAAGACATATGGATGAATAATTCACAGTGTTATTACTCTTGTCAAATAAATGATTTTCCCGGCTTCTGGGTTCTGTCAGAGATATTTTTTATTCGGTTTTCGTTTACTCAAGGACCATAGGAAAACGTTCGTTCATAATTTACAAATTACACAGCTGTGGGAGACAGGTTTGTAACATGATACTTGCTATGTTTTATCAAACGACATGCAATCTTATGTTATTGATTTCAGATGGCGGGGTTGCTGCAGAAACAAAAAATATTGAATTTAAAATTACGAAAGGCATCACTTCTAGAGTGTCAGTGTGTTCCCAGCAGTGGAAGGCTTTAAGCACAGCGTGTTGTAACGTCGTTGCCATGGTGTCTCGCGCATGTGGGTACATAGGTACTTTGTATGCATAGACACCGGGTTATTTCCACAGAAAAACAATGTATCAAATTGAAATATCAGTTTCAGACGTTAAACTGATGCGGTGGTAATAGATATATAACGTTTCCTTGGCGCCATCGGGAAACGACACATGTATGGCGCTCGTGCTATAAATTGGACTACATTCCCTGTAAGGAATCTTCTCAACAGGGTTACGACATAAAGTGTTAACATTTATGATGTGTTAGATTTGGATGGGGGTTCGTCATGGTAGATGTAGAGGAAATGGTAGAATAGGGGTAGGAATTGGTTTATTTTGAATGAATGGTAGAATTGGAGTAAATCATGATATATATTGAAGATGTTATGGTGGAATTTGAGGATGTGGTATAAATTGGCTATATCATGGTAGAACTGGAGGATTTTGTAGATTGTAGAATTGGACTATATGGTAGATATTGAAGGTGCTTTGGTAGAATTGGAGGGTATGGTAGGTCCTGAAGGTGCTATGGTAGAATTGAAGGATGTGGTAGATATTGAAGGTGCTATGGTAGAATTGGAGGATAGTAGATATTAAAGGTGCTATAGTAGAATTGGAGGATATGGTAGATATTGACGGTGCTGAGGTAGAATTAGAGGATATGGTAGATATTGAAGATGATATGGCAGAATTGGAGGATATGGTAGATATTGAAGGTGCTGATGTAGATTGGAGGCTATGGTAGATATTGAAGGTGCTATGGTAGAATTGGAGGATATGGTAGATATTGAAGGTGCTGAGGTAGAATTGGAGCATATGGTAGATATTGAATATACAATGGTAGAATTGGAGGATATGGTAGATATTGAAGTTGTTATGGTAGAATTGGACGATATGGTAGATATTGACGATGATAGATAATGACGATGCCATGGTAGAATTGGAGGATATGGTAGATATTGAAGGTGCATGGGTAGAATTGGAGAGTATAGTAGATATTGAAGGTGCTATGTTAGAATTTGAGGGTATGGTAGATATTGAAGGTGCTATGGTAGAATTGGAGCGTATGGTAGATATTGAAGGTGCTATGTTAGAATTGGAGGGTATGGTAGATATTGAAGGTGCTATGGTAGAATTGGAGGATATGGTAGATATTGAAGGTGCTATGGTAGAATTGGAGCGTATGGTAGATATTGAAGGTGCTATGTTAGAATTGGAGGGTATGGTAGATATTGAAGGTGCTATGGTAGATATTGAAGGTGCTATGGTAGAATTGGAGCGTATTGTAGATATTGAAGGTACTATGGTAGAATTGGAGCGTTTGGTAGATATTGAAGGTACTATGGTAGAATTGGAGAGTATGGTAGATATTGAAGGTGCTGAGGTAGAATTGGAGAGTTTGGTAGATATTGAAGGTACTATGGTAGAATTGGAGGATATGGTTGACCCTGAAGGTGCTACAGTAGAATTGGAGCGTATGGTAGATATTGAAGATACTATGGTAGAACCCGGATCTTTGGCGTGACGAGCGAACGCTTAAGCTACCCGACCGCCAAAGCAGATTAAGCCATGGCAGAATTGGAGTCACTCATGCAGATTTGGAGACAGCCGTGGTAGATAGTACACACACACGGGCACTATCAGGAACTACGAGGAGCTCCTTGGGGAGTTTCGCGATATCTAGAACGTCATGACTCAACGACATGGAGCTGAATTCGAGAACAAGATGCTTAACGGTAGAGTTTCTGGACGACTATGGCAGGTTTCATCACAATTAATATGAAATTCTATATTTGAATGCACACATGTGCTTCATAACTGAAGACATATTGAATGATCAGCCCTTTCATGTTGTGATGAGGCAACGAAAAACGATTTTTACCGACAGTTACCATGGCAAGATTAATATTAATACATTAAAGCATCCATTCGTCCTTTCTCCTTACAGCTACTGTTAATTCTACTTCTCTGTCTCTCTCTATCTGATTATGATAACAATTGCATCGAAATAAACAAGATTTAGAAACCTCCCAATCAGCGAAGCTAAGTCAACCAAATAGAAATATCAATCCTGTAACCTTGTTACAGAATTCTTCTAATCTGTTCCACGCCAATCATTTTACCAATAAACTAAATCAGGAAATATTCCTTATAAATTCGGTTTTAGTGGGATTCGCTGAAATCCCTCCAACAGCGTATCAAAGGCCACTGTTCTCAGTAATGAGAATTTCCATCCCACACGTTAAACATGTAACTGGCCGCTTGTTGAACAATTGGATTACATTGATTTCATATGGTCCACTGCTGATTGTATTGATTGCTTGTAATTGTACCATTTGAGCCAGCAATCTGTATCAAGCGACGTCGAGATACTTGGAAATGGGAAATTGGGTTCCACTTAATAAATATACACCTTGAAAATATTAAAGCATCGCTTACTATATATTTCCATATCAAATAGATAGTTTTGATAACGCATCCTTTTGTTATTTTTCTGATGAAACACATCAGTGTTTAAGTTAGAAGTGACATGCTCACATAGAAATAAATAAATAATTATATATTTCAGTTGATGACATCTTTTGTCTATTTAGGCATCCTTTCAACTGCTTCGTCTTCTTGTTTGACAGGGGTACGGGTGGCCCAGTCGTCTAAGGCGCCGCAATTGCGCCGCTCGTACACGTCCGAAACCTATGATTTTGGGTTCGAATCCCGGTTCGCCCGATTATGTTTCTAGGGTTTACCATCACCATACCCGTCCTCGGGGGTTTCAACAAAGTGGTGAACGTCTGAGACCTGCATCATTTCCTCCGACATCAAGGTGACACGCCGTGATGTAACTGGAATATGGTTAAGAGGGGCGTTACATCAAACTCACTCACTCACCCTTGGTCAGCATGATACAACCGTTACGGCATAATTGGAATAATTCAAAATCAGTGACACCCTATCAATCCTGCTCTTTGGACAATGACACGCTGACACTACCAGCCCAGAGTGTGTTGGTCAACGCTGTCTGGTTACGATGACACACTGAAGACAGTGAGGACATTGTACCTTGCCACCTCACTGGGGTACAGACAGATGAGGACATTGTGCCTTGCCACCTTACGGGGGTACAGTCAGCTGAGGACATTGTACCTTGCCTTCTCACGGGGGTACAGACAGATGAGGACATTGTCCCTGCCTCCTTGCGGGGGGACAGACAGCTGAGGACATTGTGCCTTGCCTCCTCACGGGGGTACAGGCAGATGAGGATATTGTGCCTCGTCTCCCCACGGGGGTACAGACAGATGAGGACATTGTGCCTTGCCTCCTTATGAGGATACAGACATATGAGGACATTGTGCCCTGCCTCCTTACGGGGATACAGGCAGCTGAGGACATTGTGCCTTGCCTCCTAACGGGGGTACAGACAGACGAGGACATTGTGCCTTGCCTCCTCATGGGGGTACAGACAGATGAGGACATTGTGCCTCGTCTCCCCACGGGGATACAGACAGATGAGGACATTGTGCCTTGCCACCTCACTGGGGTACAGACAGATGAGGACATTGTGCCTTGCCACCTTACGGGGGTACAGTCAGCTGAGGACATTGTACCTTCAGTTGCCTCCTCACGGGGGTACAGACAGATGAGGACATTGTCCCTGCCTCCTTGCGGGGGGACAGACAGCTGAGGACATTGTGCCTTGCCCCATCACGGGGGTACAGGCAGATGAGGATATTGTGCCTCGTCTCCCCACGGGGGTACAGACAGATGAGGACATTGTGCCTTGCCTCCTTATGAGGATACAGACATATGAGGACATTGTGCCCTGCCTCCTTACGGGGATACAGGCAGCTGAGGACATTGTGCCCTGCCTCCTAACGGGGGTACAGACAGACGAGGACATTGTGCCTTGCCTCCTCATGGGGGTACAGACAGATGAGAACATTGTGCCTCGTCTCCCCACGGGGGTACAGGCAGATGAGGACATTGTGACTCCTTACGGGGGTACAGGCAGATGAGGACATTGTACCTTGCCTCCTCACGGGGGTACAGACAGATGAGGACATTGTGCCTTGCCTCCTTACGGGGGTACAGACAGATGAGGACATTGTGCCTTGCCTCCTCACGGGGGTACAGACAGATGAGGACATCGTGCCTTGCCTCCTTACGGGGGTACAGACAGATGAGGACATTGTGCCTTGTCTCCTTACGGGGGTACAGACAGATGAGGACATTGTGCCTTGCCTCCTCACGTGGGTACAGACAGATGAGGACATTGTACCTTGCCTCCTCACGGGGGTACAGA